AAGAAAATGACTAAGCTAGGTGTATATATGTATTATATAAGGTCCTGCAGTACACATCCATATTCCCTGTTACATTTCACTATTATAATAATTATTATTTCGTATATGAGTATATAAATAAATAAATTTTCAAATAGTTATTGTAAAATTTAAACAAATATAATTTTAACAGGGTACCCACTTGCAAAGTTCTATTCGTTAAAATATCTCTAATGTTTGATCGAAAGCCCCAGTTTATTCCATTAAAGGAACTCCTTTTTCGCTTTCTAAGAACTCACAACAATTCAAAAACTTGCCAAACCCTCACTCATTAACGCCTCAGAGTGCCGCTCCACTCTGAAATCAATTATCTGATGTGCCACAAAAAACGTTGAGGAAGTATCAAAAACTGCTTGATTTACTTGTTCAACAACATCGGGATACGCTGAAGTCGTACAAACAGGCTTTTCGCACTTGCTGCAAACCCCCTGGAAAAAGAGAGTTCGAGTGCACATATCAAAGGAAGCCCAATCAATAAACTGGGTTAGGAATGCCAGACTCAACCGACACGATTTCAATTTGCTTAGTTGATAAATGCCAAAAATTAATTCAGGCAGCACAAAAAATACTCTAAAATACACTATATAGTGGATACAGAGAGCTTAGGGTATATTAAACGTACGCTTTATATATAAATGTATATAAACCTTAGTAAAGACAGCACAACGTCTCACATACATGGACCCCTTTCACAGAATGCCCTTAAAAAATGTAGTGCTTTATTTAAATCTTTTAATTTAAAAATATATTTAGGAAATGGGACGAAATAAAATATATTTCCTTAGCTTTCATTGCTTTATAAAAGGATTTGAATCATTAAAATCATTTTCTACACTTATTTCTTTATATATTGAATGCAATCCAAATGTGCCCCAATAAGTATGCTATATTTTTCAGCAGGTATCTTCTAGTCGGGTCTCTCGACAATATCTTTTTATTTGGATATCTATAAGTGTGTTTGTGTGGTTCTGGTTTACAAGCACGTATATAAATATGCATGTGAGTAACTAGAAAATATTTTCACTTTTTGCCGTGATTCGTTTGGGTTTCCCACTTACACACACACAGCCCGCACACACACCGAGTATTTATGTAGAAAGAAAGTTGGCTTTCTTCTGGCTGTGTCAGGCACAAAGTTGCACCGGCCGGAGCTGCACTCACCCTCACCTCAACTCAACTCATCTGCTACCCCAGGCCGCTCGTAAATGTACTAAATAGTTTCTCACGTGACTTTTGCCCATAAAAAATGGCTTTATTGCTGCACACGTATTCATTAATGGCAGCAATGAACTCACATGTGAACTTCGAGTCGGTGTGGGTTTTTGCTTGAGGAAAGGAATGCTCCGAACTCCCTTACCCCCCCCCAAAAAAAAGAGTCCTTCTTCCTTTCTACTTGTTGTTGTTACGGGTTGCATTCAAAACTGCCTGCAAGTCGTCTGCACAGGAAGTGCATATTAATTGTGAAAATTTGTACGAATATTTCTTCGAAAAATAGCTGCCCTCCTTTCTTGGTGCCTTTTTAGTCTCGGCTAAATCCATGCCGTACTCCGAAAAATATGGCTTTAGTTGGAATTCCTTGAAACTTGCATAAGGAGTGAGCTTGGTAAATGCACAAAAGGGCAAATGGGAATGGATAAAGTTCTTGAAGGCTTTCGATAAGTGTTGCCAACATAATATCAGTTGCTTATGGCACGAGAACAGGGAATGGCTTTGAGCTTAAGCTTTGACGATTTCTTATAAAAGGTTATATCCTATTTGCATTTAAAACAATAAAGAAATTGGATATTCAGCAAGGAAAGAATCTCAGTTTCCTTAGAACAAACCTTGGATTTAATGACTTATTCCTTTAATCAAAACTGGATAAATATGACATATATTTTATTAACATTATTAACTCATCAGAGTCAAGTTGTGTACATTTTAATCATTTAAATTGATAAATAATCCGTTGAATCTGCATTTATTTGGCGTAAGCTGAACCATTTCTTTCTCATTTGGTTTCATTTTTTCTCAATTCTTTATTCAAAACGTTGGTCGGGTAATAAATAAATTTTCATAATGAGCAAAAAACGTCTGAATGGAAATGTAAATCACTGAATTTTTCATTGATTTCAGATGATTCGAGTGTCCAGCTCACCCATTCCTTTGATTCGGTTCGGTTTATTCCATCGCTTATATATTTTTTTTTCTTTTCAATTATTGGCAAATTTCGAATAATTCAGCAGAGGACCGCCTTCGTCCCTGTCATCCGGTTGTAATTTCGTAATAAGGCAGTGAATGTTTTAAAGCCGCTTACCGTTAACAATCATTCTGGGGAATAAGCAAGGAGCAGCAGCAGGAGGCGGAGAAAGTCCTGTCTGGGTTAAAATAACATGTTATTGCACTTTTCTTTTAAATGAATGCAGTAAGCTCACCCGCGCACATGACAATTGCAAGGCGCTGATAAAAGTCGGGGTGTCTGCGGTTGCTCTTTTCCCTGCATCCTTTCGCCCGCATGTCCTTTCGCCTTGACAGGCAGAGGGGGGCACTGTCAGGAATGCATTTTCAAACCGCAAAAATAATTAAAAACTTTACGCCCCGCCTCGGGGCTGCGCTCGCATTTAATCCTGTCAGACAGGACACTCTCGTGTCGAGGTCAACCGATAAAAATCAAAGGGGACGAAGTCTTGGCCTTTAAACAGCGCTGCGGTTAATGAAATTGTCTCGCCGCCTCCACTGCCGGTCGATGGAGAGTCCTGACGGCTGGAAACACTTCCTTTATCAGCCGCATCCTTTCGAGGCCTTCACTTTTTTTTTGCTCCACTCGGATTTCTCATTTATCAGAGGATCTTAAGACCTTATTTTATGCCTTTGATACTGTGTTTAAGGAACACGTTCTACTACAACAGATAGAGTAGAAATTAGTATATGTATTCCTTTCGTTTAAAATCATTAAGCATTGTGTACATAAATTTATGTATACATCTTAATGATAGCTTCTCTGTGCACAAAATATCCTTGCTATCTATGTATTCAGTTAAATTTTTCGTTTTATTCAGAATGCCTGAGAAAGGGGACTAAGATCCGCCCAGCTTAATTACTTCCAAATTGGCGCAGATGGAAAGTTTTCATTTCCTTGCTGCCGAAAACAGAATCTGGCAATGCCACAAAATGGGTTAAGGACCAAGGCCAGACCACAGCCGTCTTTAACGAAGGCGGTCTTGGGCGATTTTGGAGGCTGGACGGAGGCGAAAGTTTCGCCTCTTAGGCCCGTAAAAAACATTTGCGCAATGTCAACAAATTTGCGCGCTTATTAGATTTTCGTGGTTGCACACAATTTCGCCAACTAAGACCGCCGCAGTGAGATAAAGTGCAGCCTGCGAAAATATGAATAAAATAACGAGAACTTTTCGCAAACGGAAGTGCACGCTGGGTTCTTTTTTTTTGTGGTTGTCGTTCGACTTTTCTCCAGTTCTTTAGCTTTCCCGGGCTGCGGTTGACCAGCGGACCACGCCCATTTGGGAATGGGATATGAACGAGGACGAGGTTCACGCCCATTTTGCGAGACGGTCACGGTCGCCGGGTCTGCTAATGAGTTTTGTTGTCAGTTCTTGCTGGCCAAGCACAAATCGGCGGGACGGGGATCATTTGGCTGCTCCTGGTGGTGGTCCTGGTCCTGGTCCTGGTCCGGCTGCTTGCCTTGGATTTATGCGCCAGGAGTCGTGTGTGTGCGGTAAGTTAATATTTGCTGCATAAATTCCAGTGCGTCGGAATTTACTGCGCTTCGTTTCGCTCCCTTCGGGACTTCCCCGACGCTTTGTTCGCCGCTGTTTTGCAGAAATTATGAAAATGCAGTCCAAACCCATCCCCTCCACTGGCTGGCCACCATATACAGCAGTCCTGCGGGATCAGAATGCAAAGCTTGGACCATGGACACACGAACGCCAGGATATTAATTACTTTTTGCATTTTTAGCTCTGCGCCTGGAATTCAAATGAGCAGAATTTTAGTTAATTTGTTTCCTGCAAAAATATACGTATATTTTTTAACGGAATTTAAGCTCTGTACTTGCAGTCAAGTTGGTTTTCATTTTGGTTATTGAGAGCTCTAATCCGGTAAATCCACCAAAAACTGTGTGCTTACTTATGGGATGAGCCATGAACACAATGGAGAAAGAATACCTAAATAGTTACAAATATATTTGAAGTGCGAGTACGTTTTAGGTTCGGAAAATATCCTATTCGAATACTTTATATAAAAACCCTTTATAAAAGATGCCTTGTATTTGTTTTGGGAACTGTCAGGTAATAAAACCCAAGCCTCTTTTATAGTCTCTATTAAAATTAATATTTTTAAATTCAGAATGATTTGGATAGGGTATCAAAGGTAAATGATGTTGAAGTCAAAGCAAATCGCTACAAATTGAAATCGTAAAATTATATTTAACCCCTGCAGGCCGCAGGACAAGGCCAGCAGCATCATTGTCCAATATGGGAATACAAATATAGGAGTGACTCGGCTGTGTGCATGTCATGCGGTGGAATGACAAACGGAAAACGCCCCAAATTATCGGCACGTAACAGCACAAATTGCGAATACCAGAAGGACCGCCCGATTCCGTTGCTGAGCTGTTGCGTTTACAAAACAAACACACAAAAGGCGAAAAGCACACAAATATGACTGAATTGTTTTTCATGGCACAAATCGATGCCACCTGGACGGACAAGGGCACTGATGGAGCCAACGGTTTCAAATTCCATTTGACACATTTTCACTGCCGATTCGATTTTGCCGCTCGGTTTTCGTCATGCTCGCTGTCGTTTTTATTATGTTAGTGGATGTCCGTCCCACTGTCATACCACAACAACCACTCCGGTTTCCAGGTGAGGCCTGCAGTTGGAAATCTACATTGTAAATTCGCGAGTGATTCCTTACTTGGTTTTTCATAGACCCCGTTTGCCTTGTGACTTGTAAACGTATGCTTGATTTTAGAAGATGTTATGAAAACGTACAGTTAATGAATGAATTAAAGTTTTACAAGTTTTTAAAGTCTTACAGGTAAAACTTAATCGGCTGTTGCATGCCATTGAGTGGCGAAGTGTTGATCCTTCTGAAATTCCGTCTCCCAGAGTAACTTGAAGTTGATATCGCCTTGTGTGAGCTCCAGATCGGTTTGATTCTGCTGAGTGGGGGCCCGGCAAGAGTAAAGGATGGGCAGAACATGGGCTATGGCCACCCTGATCTCATCCATGCCGGTGCAGAGCATCACGTATACATAGCCCATGGGGAAATTATGTACTTGATCAAGGTACGCGGCTCGATATAGGTCAGAAACGGATGCTCCGTGGGAGTGTAGGTGGCGTTGGGCCCAATACGCTTTTTGAGAGCCTGCAGGTCCAGAGGGAACGGCATGCAGAAGGTGGCGTTGACCAGGTTGAACTTCGGTTTAATCAGTGATGGGGTGCAATCGTTCAATTCGGCCAGAGCCTCCGAAAAGTTAACCAGAACCTTATAGGAATCATACTGGTTAAGGGCCTGGCATAACATGTTACCATTGGCATAGATCTTGATGACGCCGCAAGGCCTACGGTAAGTTGTCACCAGGGCCATATGTCTATCCGGGTCATAGGTGCTGTCGGGCAGACAGTGTCTCAGCTTCCTCAGATTATATTGGCACTTGGTGTTCAGGAAACAGACGAAGGGTCTACAAGGAGGCGGTGATACTTAGCAGCTCACATTAACTACAAAATCAATTGCAACTCACCTGAATAGCAGCTTAAGATAGCGCTCTATATCCGCCACCTTGGAGCAGTCATTATAGATATTGAGCACATCCGCTTCCGTTGGAGTCTTTGGAGGTGGATTCGCTTCCACGGTTTTACTCTGGGTTGTTTTCGGTCCCTGGTTAAAGATATCGAAAATCTCCACCTCAGACATACCAAGCATGTGCACATTACCGAATAGAATTTCTTCGAAGCTTAGCTCTTCGAGCTCTTTGAGTTCTTCGAATCTTCGCTTCATCGCAGTGGGTTTTCTATTGCTCTGGGGGCACTTATTAATTAAAACGAGTTTGTTAATATTTATCAATGAGAATTGCTCTTTCCGTACCCGGATGTTGTTGAAAAAGAAATGAACACGCGGTAGAAGAGCTTCCGTTTGGTGTTGCCTGATCGATGTCAAATCAGTGTTAAACATCGACGAATTGGGAAGTAATAACCGTTTCCAACTAGTTTTTTGTATTCTGCATTTTTAATTTATTATAAAACTTCCGTAAAAGTCACAGCGGATACTTTTCCTTTATAATTATTATAATTGAAATCAACCTGGCATCAAATTCAAATGTAGTCAGTATTTTATTGCATTCAAACACATTTTTTAAATACTAGAATATACAGTGTTTCCACCAAATGATTTAAACTATGTATAAAGAGTGATGTAAACAATTATCGATAAATTTCTTTGGAAAAAATACAATTCAAAAATTTAATTTATAAGTTTGACTTTCAAAACGTTTTAATATATATCAAAAATTCGGTTATATTCGTCATAATAAAGCATTTCAATATTTATTCAAATTTAAGTCCATTAAATTTATCTTATTTAAAATTAAGAGTTGTACAAATATGAGTTAATAAATTCTTTGATATCAGGCAATTTATACATTTTGCAATATGATTTGTTCGGCAATTAATTGACGCTTGAGTTAACCCCGTGGCAAAAAGCCATTAGTGGCTCTGATTAAATTTAACAATGCATTTCAGAGCACCAAACTGCAGGAATTGTTGGACAAAATGCAAGCAAACAATCAAAATATCATTCAATTTCAAATCGCAGAAATCGCATAATTGAAACCCCATTGAAGTCCATTAATAACTTCATGGCAGCAGTCCAATTCAAACACACGGATTCGGGAAAATCAAACACCAGCACATGCTCATATTTCTCAGCCGGAAAATGGGCATGGGAATGGGCATGGCCATGGGCTTGGGGGCGGTGGACTTGACGTTAGCTCATCAAACCCGAAAAACCACTTTGCTCAACTCTTTCAAAGTGCATACATCATCAACGCTAAGCCAAAACAAAAAAGCAATGCAAAGGGAGCGAAATGAACGATGGCGACGGGCAAGCAGAAGTAGTCGTTGGGTGATGGTGATAGCGAGTCTGGGCGGCGGTACGCGGGCGTTGAAAACTTTTGTGCAATGTTGATTTTTCCGCAAGAGTCGTTTTTTGCCATCACCGGACGGAGACCGTCTACGGGGTCCACGCCAGATGATGATGGTCCACGGCACCGAAACGGGGGAAAAGAGGAACCGCAAGCACTTTATAAAACCCGCAGCTCAGCAAAAGTCTTTCAATAATAATAATATTGGGGCGCAAGAGGGACAACAATGCCCTGAAATGGGTGAAAGTGCTCGGTTTAGAGCCTCATGGAAGCGTCCTAAGGTCATAGGTGAGAAAAAAAAGCTTAATAAGAAAAACCAACTGCATTTTACAGATTTCAAGATTCATTTAATTATGGCAACTAATTTGAAGAGAATAGTGTTGGGTTCTAAGCAGGTGTAAATTTATATGGTTTTGAAAGCCTTCCTGGGAAACTTAAATTTCAATTCCACACAGTCAATTTAATTAATTTAAAGTGACCCGTACTGCCCTCGGATTTAGTGTCAGATTCTATGACGCCAAGTCCATTAAAAATCAAATGGCAAATCGTGTAAATCACAGCCTTGACTTCGCTTCATACCCTTGTCCTCTCTGGTGACCCGTGACCCCTTGAAGGGAACGAGAAATTGAAGTGGCAAGAGTTCCTGGATTTCTACGTGGATTGGGAGTGGGATTTTGGGACTGGGATTGGGCGTGGGTGTAGTTGGGGGTGGACTGATGGCGGAGCTTCTACTGCTGCTGCTGCTGCTGCTGATGATGATGATGACAAACAAAACAATGGAATCAAAGCGGTTAATGGCTTTTGTGTGTAAAATGAATGAATGCGGCAACGTTTCCTGCTTTCATTTGCAGCTTCATTTGCTCTGGTAGCCTCTCTCTTTTACCCCCAGCCCTTCGATTGAGGGTCTGGGGATGAGAGGTCACTGGTTACAGCAGTTTTAGTAACATGTTTGTTTATGTTCACTGTATGTACACTTAAACAATGGAACTTTAAACTATACAAAAATAATTGAAGAGTTTCGAAAGACTACAAATAATTCTTGTTTTCAAATGGTAGCTCATAGAGTGTGGCTTTCCCAGTGTTATATCTTCTATTAAAATTGCTATAACTGAGTCCTTTTTTCCCAAGTGCATACATACATTCCCAAAGGTAGGGGCCGTTACAAGCGCTAATCGATAAAGGGGCGAGCATTGAGCATTCCTCGTGGACGACGGGTGGGATTGGGTTCCTGCACGGATGCTGACATCGCCGGCAATGCAACTCCACTTTCGTTATTGGTTTTTTGTTACATCCCTGCCAAATGCCACATGCCGCAAGGATGTGCCCTCGAAGCCCGGCAAAGACTTCGCTCGCCCGCCCAGCTCTTTGTGCAAACCGATAATTAAATCGAACAAAGGCTTAGAGATTCAGTCAGATTCAGTCAGTCCCTTGCAGTTCCGCTCGTTTATCAACTGTACGAATAAGCCCGGAGAACTCACATTCGCCATTCACATTCCTGCTGCGAAAACTCTCTTCTCATACAGGAGTATCCAGCGTCTGAAGTGGTTGTTCTTCAAGGCAATTAGCAGACATAAACAAATGGATAATCCGATACTCAGGAAATACATTTATTTATTTTTCTAAAAAATATATGAAGAGGCCTAGAAGAGCTTAAATTTTGAAGTGGCAGCAAGTTAGAGAGATTTGGGATGCAAATTGTAAAAAACAAAATGGCGAATAGCATCTTAAAGTTATTTCTAAGTTGTACACTTTAATGTATAACTTTTATAAGAATCTGTTTTTATGCTTAAGGGTTCCTGAAACAAACCAATTCAATAAACATTTTATACAGTATTTTGAATATTAAAAAAAAACTCAACTCTTTAAGGACTACCTCAACTTACCTGAGTAAGCTTTACATGCTTAAATATTTACTCACCGGACACTTGAGCGTATGGAAAGCACCTGAACTGACTGGGAAATATTATTTGCCTTATTTGACGGGTAATTTCAAGGGGCTTTGTTCTGTTTTTTTTTCCCCCGGCAGACGAGGGAAATCAGGAGGCATCCATTCGGCGGACAGCCAGCTAATTAGGCGATCAAGAACTGCCTGGGGCATGTCAGCCAACGCCCACGGGCAGCAAGTCGCGATAGTCATTAGAACGGGGTCAGGAATGGAGGCTAAGGGGTGAAAAATCAATAGCTCTATTATTTGGCGGAATGTCGACGGCCAAAACGAGGCGACTTGACTCCGTTTGATGTGTTGATTGACAGCCTAATTGAGGTTTCTTGACTCCTTCCATTGGAGTAGGCCAATGACCGTTTGCTGCTGCGGCTAATAATAATATTGTTGCTCTATAATATCGCTGGGGGAATAACAGCTTGTTTAGTTAGTCATTAGGCTGGGGAATTTGGGGGTGATTTGGGTGATGGTTAAAACAAAGCTCCCAGCCTCGAGCCCGTTTAACCCTGAATTCCCCCCGAAAGCACATTAAATATTTGCCGAAAGTCGCACTTGATTGCCGTTGTTGTGGTGGGGCTTTCGTTTCAATTTTTTATTGATTCAACTATTTAATGTCCAATTGCTGAGCAAATACCAATCAAACGCTTGGTTTACGCAATTAGGCGGCAAGTGCCGCCCCTTCGATTTCCCAACTCCAGACACAGGCACAGACACTTGCCGCCGTTCTTAATTAGCATTTACATTGCGTGCAACATACTGCAAGACATAAAATTAACGCCGGCCCCGGAAGGTTTTGCCCATTTTACAGGATACAGGACACTGGATACGAGACTGCTGTTGGCTCTGGCCTTTAATTTGAATTTCGGGCAAGGCATTCGAAAGGAAAGTTCTGTCCCGCCGGGATGGTCATTAAAAAGTCTGAGTGGCCAACAGAGCCGAGTTATTCACAACTTTTTGTTACGGCAAACTTTCAAAGGGTTGATTGAACTCTTGAATCAAGCAAAAGTATAAAAAAAAACTGAAATAATAAAGGAACAAACTGAATAGGCAGGCGAACAATAAATACAAAAAACCTGGTGAGAAAAGTTTACAAACATTTATTCGTTGTTTTGGTTCAATGTCCCATGGAAAGGATGGGATTGAGAAACAGCAGCAGCAGTGAGAACTTCCGTTTTGTGAACTCAATTATGTGGCGTATCAATGCGCAAAAAACTTTCTTCTTCTCAAAATTCAAAGCAAAAATTTATAATACTTGTGAGTGTGAGTGTGTGTGCTGAATACCCTAATAAAGTGCGGAACCGCAGACTCTCTTTTGGCCAAGAGAAACTTGCCAGCTAGAAATAATTCTCTTCACCAGAAACAGCTTTCGAGTGTTTTAAAATGATTCCGAGTGCCACTTAAGCGTTCCACCGCACAGCGCGATATCCGTTTGTGCTCATTCAAATCGCATGTAAAAACTATCTAGCATACTTTTTTTGGCACTCACACAAGAGGCAGGCGTCGAGAAGTCAAGGCTTGGAACTGTTCCAGATTTCCCGAAAAAGCCACCTTCTCCTCCTTGCTCCTTATTCTCCGTCTGCTTCGGAAAAGGAAATCCAAGCTGAAGCGGAAGCGCATGGCGCTGAAATAAAGTGTTGCATACTGTGCGGGGCAACAATAATAAAATATTGCATATTTTGCGGCTACACAAAATCCAAAGGCAAGCCATCAATTTAATGGTCCTTGGCGCGGGCATATTTACTTTTGTTTTAAGCTTGCCACAATATTATTTATTACAGAGCTCTGGCACTGATTTTATTCGCTTTTTTAGGTTCTTATAAACGGGATTATTCTTAAGGATTTTGTAATAAAGATTAAGAGGCAGGAGAAGCTTTTTTGAACACTGTTTTTCGGTAAGGAAAATAGATCAATCTATATTACGTATACGCACTGCAGTACACTGGTGTAAATAGTATTTATCATAACTAAATCAAAAATGGATTAATTTTAATTCGGAAAACTGTTCTGAGTTGATTTTTGGAGGTTAATAAATCTGCAATCAATTTATAATATTAATTTTTGACAATTTATGAAAATTTTAACGGTAACCCCTACAAATTGTAATATTTTTGAAAAAATAAATTATTGCCGGACATAGCTAGATCGATTCTCCATGTGATGCTGATCAAGAATATATATGATTTATAGAGTCGGAAATGATTCCTTCACTGAGTAACAAGCTTCCCAAGCTACCCTTCCTATTATTATACAAATTATATTAATAATAATTATTATAAATTAAGGCCTCACTATAAGAGCATCATAGTTCCGTTGCATTGTTACCGGATTTTCCTTCAGTTTTCTTGGCTGCGACCTCGATTTCCCTGGCCGCCCCTTCGTCTGCCTCTGATTTCAAAGTGAAACTTTAATGGCAACAAATGCTCCCCCGCCAGGACCATCGCCATTTTATATTTGATATTTTATTACATTACATTTCCCTGGCTTATTACATTTTGGCTTTTAAGCTGTTGACACAACTTGATTTCCGTGCGACCCGGGTATCGGGTGGGCGAGTGAAAGAGTGGCCTGGTCAGTGCCGGAATCGCCGTCGAGTTCCTGCCCAAACGCCCACACAGTCCTCGCTCAACTCGTTTTGTTTTTAGCTCCCTCTCTCTCTGAGTCAGTTACTTTTTGCTGCCACCCGGGCCTCAGACAATTTTTGGGTTTTTCCTTTCCCAAGTTTCACTTTTGGAAGCCGGGAAGTCTGCTGGCTGACCCAGAAACAAAAGTGTGTCTAATGGCTTTCTGTTATGTTTTTTGACATTTTAGGAATAATGTTTCCGCTTCCGGTTTAAGGTGTGCAGCGCTTGTACTTGTGCCTGTGTATTTGCTGCAATTTCCGTCTCAGTCTGTCGCCAGTTACACAGGACAAAAATGCCCGTCAATGTCACAGTTCTTCTGTTTATTTATTAGCTATAAAAGTTGTCTAAAGCCAAAGATAAGTTTTAAATTTAAATGTTGTACTGTTAAAGAATGAATTGAATATTAAATTTTAGATGAAAAACTGTCAATTTTACTAACTGTGTAACCAGAAATAAGGTCAGCTGGTAAGCTGGTTTCATAACTGGCAAAAAGGCGAGGTAGAAAAGTGAAAAGTCATGGAAATTTCCGCCTTTTGCGAATACGTACTTTGCCCTGCCCGAGATCAACATCAAAGATGTGCCATTCCGATACTGCCAGCTAATTTCAGCGCCGTAAACATGACAACCTAATTATTTTTTTCTGCTTCCACACAGTTGGTACCACATCATCATCATCATCATCATCATCCACTGAAAACAACGGGGAGGCAATGTTCCTTGTGCAACTGTGATTAATGTAGGAAGCACTGCGCGTCTGTGACATTTGCATACGAAATTGAAAATAAATATTTGCACTGATAAATAAAAAAGACAGCTGCCTGCTAATTGCACTTTGACTTTTCGAGCGAGTCCTTCAAAGGAGTGATTCAAGTGTATGTGTGGGGGTGACATAGACAGTGGCGCAGCAAGGACAGATGGCACAGGAAAATTAGGAAAGTAATTCAGGAAGACAGGCGGTGGGGCAGGAGGGACGTCTTTCGTCAGGACCTTGAGGCCTCTTCATGTCGGCAGACAGGACGCGTCTGAAGGGTGTGCAGCTCGATGTCCTCGCTTTTACCCCGCCTTTCTGGCTGTCCTCGTCTTTGGCGCCATTTGATTAATATATATACTTTGACGCTCCCAGTTCTCGCCACCGTCCGCCCGTGATTGTCTCGCTTTATTTTCGACAATCGAAATTAATTGCACTGCTTGAGGAGGTCCTGTCTGCGCTTTGTTACCAACTTTTGCCCAACACCTGGCGGCGTCTGCTCTGTCGGGGTTAAGTTTGTCGTCGAATTTCCCAAAAGAAAAAAACACTGACAACAGCGGCAGAGTAAATGCCTCCAGCTCGCTGTCTGTCTGCAGGCGAAACAAACCGAACCGAAAGCTTAAAATGCAAAAATCAATAAATTTAATTAAAGCGGTTATTTAAAGTATTGAGAGGGAATTACGGGATTTAGGGGATATCATTAGGGCGCCGTGGAGAGGTGAGCTTATGCCTATGGAGCGGATACATGTTTAAATTGGTTTGAATTATGTTTAAAATGATTTAATTAATTTGTTCTTTTGTGGCTACAGTTTACGTTGGTTGCTGTGACACTCATTAATGTTCCAGGAATGAATCAGAATTATTATAAAATAAATTTGTTCAAGGGATGTAAGTATAAATCGATGCAAAGGATTATGGGATGATTATTTTTGGAGCTGGGGGATATTTTTAAATAAGATTAAATAATTTATATAGAATGTTTCTTTGAGTCCTTATAGATTTTAATAAATTTATTTGAATATGCACATAAGATTCTCTCAGTTATTATGCTTTCAAAATAGTGTACTTAAGCTTGAACCCTAAAATAAAATGTGCCGTCATATTGCTATCAAAAAATCATACTGATGAGTTTGTATAGGCAATCATCAGCTGTCGTTAGCATTTCCCTCTTCCTAGAAAATCACTTTGGCATTTTTTGGGGAAATCATTATATTTAAGAGGCATATTCCGGCAAACTATCGCTTTCATCCTCGACAATGCCAATCAGTTGCATCCCCAGGGCCAGGACCCATTATCATGCCCCCCAAATGAGTGCCATTCATTGGACCCACCCGCAGACGTATATATGTATATTTATAAATATATACACATGTATATCGTATATATATAAATATATTCCCTATATAAGCATGTGTATTTATATTTACTATTTCGGGGCCGTCATTATCGTTATTAGAGCTCATTAGCAGCGTCATTGCGAGGCCGAAAGAGGAAGCTATGTTTGGGTATTGGTTACGCCTTGCCTATATGCTGTATGTATGTGTTGGGCCTAAGTGTTGTCCTTCAGAGGACCAAAGGGAAGGATGAGCTGGATGAGATGGGACCTCACAGGACCATTGAATGGGAGCTAATTTGGTTCCAGGGGCTTATGGCTCCAGATTGAACCAAAATTGGTTACTCCTTCTTGGCTGCTCCTTGGATTTTGCAAGCCTCCATGGAAACTAGAGTATTTTAATTATAGATAGCTTGGTTAAGCTACTTGAGGATCTTACCCAAATTTGACTAATTATGGTACAGGAAAATTAAAGTAAAAGTCATGATAAAAGGAAATAGAAGTTATCTTAAACTAGAAACTATAAAAATAAGAACTTTTTACATTAAATTAATAGGTTAGAGACTATATTTAGGTCTTTGATGAGTTTTTTTAAGCTCCTCTAAAAATCCTCCTTGAAGCCTGGTATCATATCCTTAAGTCTGAATGCCAAGACTTGCATTCACAATACAATTCCTCGAATGCCATTGTAATTTGCAAACGGTGCGAACTTAATTTCTGTTGACCTTCCGCCATCGTCAGGATTCGAATCTGGATTGGAATCGCAGTCGCAGTCGGAGTCGCGTTAGCCTGCCATCTGTGTCCATACGTGGTCCAAATGCCTGCCGGAAATCGTCTGCAATGTGCGAGATAACAATTTTCATGCCATGGCCAAGGCGAGTGGGTATAAACCCAACCCACCCATCCCCAGAAGCCACACTCATTATTCGTAATGGCGCTGATGGTGATGATGACAACAACACCACCTCCGGCGACCACTGCGAAAACAGATGAGGAGCGGGCGGCGGGACTGATGCCCCGATTCCGGAATCCAGCGACAAAGGGGGGAAGTAGGAGTATCACAATGGGAATGCTATTGCCGTATTCTGCATTTCAGAGCTTGTATTCCCGTATTGCATGTTCCGTGTTTCGCCGGACAGGACGATCCAGAATGCCGTCGTAACATTTAATTTCCGTCAACTGGTTTTTGGCGAGAAGGGGATGGGCCGCTGGAATCCGGGGATACTGAGGGATCCAGGACGCCAGTACTCTGGCACTCCGGAACTCTGGCACTCCCAGGGGATGAGTGCTCCACGTAGACACAACATGTCTGCGGCTAATATAAAACGAAGAATGCCATGACAAACGGGTTGAGCCACCAGAACAGACACGCTTGACCACCGAAACAACGACAATGGCATTGGGGATGATTCTGATGATGGCACTTTGTCCAGCCGTAGCTATTCCACTCCGTTCCCGGTCATAATCATTAGCTACGTGCGTCGCCATTGGGGCTTGTATGCATTCAACAGTTTTGATTGCTGATTGCGTACGGCAACTGAGATAATTTCGTACATCACATGAGGAGTAGCTGCTCCAGGTGCTCCAAATTATATATGAATTTGGGAAAAATGAGTTCACGTAGGATAAATGTAAGGTTGTTGAGTAATATAACCAATTTCTCGAACTAAAACTAAGTAAATCACAAATATTAAGTTACTAAGAGAGGGCTGACTATAAAAATTGATAAATAAACTCATCTTGCCAATCGTAAATATTCAATTTTAAATTTCAAAGTATTTATATGACTTTAAACTATAAATAAAGTAATAAAAACAATGTTGAATACAACCCAAAACTACTTTAATTAAAGATCAACGAAATGCATTTAGAGAACTCTTCAACCTAAAATGAATTATTAAACTTCAAGCAGACAGAGGCAATTATAAATTACGAACTCGACTTAATTAAATAATCCATTTATCAACTAGTTCTTTTTCAAAGGCTCCGATGAATTACTAATTAAATAAATGCATTTAAGACTACAAATAAAAGGGTGTTTAGACATCTAAAAGTATTTTTGAATTAAAATGAAAGACGTTTAATGGGAGGAACAGTAAAATTCTATGAATTCTTGAATAAATAATTGAGCTGCAGAAAATTCCCCCTATAAATGTATTTATACAATTTGGAATTTCGCCCACCTTGAATATTCTAACGAATAAAAAAAAAGGAAAAAATTAAGTAATTAAATCGTGCTTAAGGCATCACCAACAGCTACGGCAGCGGCAGAGGATAAAAAAGGCAAATATGTAAATGTTGTCATAACGAAAATGCCGCAGAGAATGGCCCATCTGGACGAGGAAGACGACCTGCCTCAGTCAGGATTAAGTGCTTTGTTCTCCGTTTGTTGCCATTGCCGTTGCTGCAGGAGAAGCCTTCGAGAATGAATTTCAGCATATATTTTATGACACTCGACTTTTATATTTATGTCCCGGCCACTACATTCGTCTGTCTCGTTTTTTTTTTTTGCAGCACGTCGCCGTTGCCATCACCGGCGCCCCTGTCGCCCAAGGACTACGCAGGACTCGCCGGCTGTTCGGCGCTGGCTTTTGTCCTGTACCTAAACACACTTAACGCTGGATTTGTCTACGATGACAGGTGAGAAAAATTTAACCGAATTAAAAATTCCATATGTCAGCACGTTGACGAAGGTAAATGGCTGCGAGTGAAGTCGAAACATTGGTCCTTCGTCCTTTGGTTACTCTGTAGCTCTCTGTTTATATGGCCAAAAGCGATGTTTTGTCGCCGGATCGGTCCCAGAAGACCGTATAAAAAGGGCAGCGTAAAAATACAAAAGTTTATTATTAATTGTTCGCCAAGTGCCGCCATTTATTTGATAAAATCGCCGTAATAAATTCTGGGCCCCGCCTAATTGTAAAACTTGAAGCGGACCAGTTGCCGGCTTATCGCCTGGGCATTTGTTGATATATATGCGGCGGATCCAACGCCATTGTCAGAGAGTCAGAGTCACAGTCACAGACGGAGCAAATTAAAAAACAAAATGTTGATTTATGCCGCCGCTCCTCACCTGGCCGCATTGAAATGCTGCAAACGCAAACGAAATTACCCATAAATATCAAAAGTCATGTACAATGGACAGGAATTTCCCCAAGGACCACAAGCTCCATATATACAATGGTCTAGCCCTCCGGCCAGGAGTCAGCAGTCAGCAGTGAGCAGTCCAGAAGCTTCTCCTCTGACCATTACTGGCGAACAAGTGACTCCAGTTACTGCCCCGGTTCAACTACAATGCCCGGCGAACAATTGCCAGGATTTGAGGTGGGGACATGGTATTGGACTTGGCTCTGGATCTGGCCAAGTTATGCAGAAAGTGCTCAGCTCGAAGCTTTCGCTGTAGCTCGTTATTTTGTGCTGTCCAGAAAACAAGCGCAAAACTTACCAGGACACACACACAATACACACACCGCGCGCACACGAAAATAATAAACGCAACTTATGTAACTCGGCCGCCCCCTTTTGCCTTTCGAAAAAGTTTGTGTGCGAGTTTATGTTTTTTGCTTGGGCGGAAGCTCCTGCGGTCACTTTCACGCAGTTGCCAACACCAGTTTGGAGCACAGGACCTTCGTCCTACACAGAGGAGAAATGAGAAAACTAAAAAAAATAAACCCATTGCTTTGTTATACTGCATGAAAAAGGCTTCTGCCTAACTGAAAGTTAAATTGAGAAGCCATTGGAAATGGAAATACTAATTGAAAATTAAAAAAAAACTAGAAACCTTGTTTAAAATTTGCTCTAATTTAATGCTAACTAAAACCTATACATTAAATATTTTTTCTTAGTGAATACCTCTGTCCCGCTGCCTACCTATCGGTTGGTCCTTTCGCATGTCCTGCGGTCATCCCACAACATGGCCACTGTGACCACACGAGCACAAGTTATTATTGTCAAGCCAGGCCAGACAAAACATGATTTATTAAATGGCAGAATTCCCTTCAATTTGTTTCCTATCAACTGGAAAAAGAGCAATGGCTTGGCTTCGGCTGGGCACTGGGCATGGGAATGGGTATGGATGGAGCTATCGTTGCCATGTTTCGGCATTAAGGAATCTCTGTTGTTGGCAATTGTTAAGGAGAGATATGAGATTTTAATAAGTTATGCTTGGCAGCTTTTTGATCGAGTGTTTCACCGAACAAGTTTCGCAAATAATTGAACTAATGGGATGTGCTTATATTCGATTAAAGGCTACCATTGAATTATTTCTAGCCATTTAAACTTTTAAGCTTTAATAATTTAAAGGCATTTTACACCTTTGTTGGTCACCTGATATATTCACACCTTCAACTTGATATATTTCTATTTTACCAAAAGAAAAACCTGAACCGTAACAAAATGTGGCCAAACATCCCCCAATCTGTAGTCTTACAATAATTTATGTGCCGTATTAAAAGGACAGCAACACCGGCAGTAAAGAATCAACAACAACGTTACGTATACGTAATTTTGATGGCACACAACACCATCGGACGATAGGCACACTTCAGAGCGTGTGTGGATGTGGTGTGCGAGGTGTACCCATGTTGTGTGTGTTGTGTTCTTCAGCCAGAGTAACAGAATTTTGTGCTCTTTTTTATTTTTGGTTTTGTTGTGTATATAAAATCGAAAATTTTCACTTTACATAAGAACAACACACATACAAATGGTGTGTGTTGTGGGTAGCCATAAAGGTAGGATGGCAGGATGGCAGGATGGCAGGATGGCAGGAATGTGGTGTCCACATTCGGTGCTGATGCTATGATATATTGTCTTCAACAAAAGCCAACCACAGCCCTGTTTGTCTGCTGTTACCCACTGTACTTGTGTGAGCATGTGCGGTGAGGTTAACAGTGGATAGAAAGTTGAAAATATTACTGAAAGTTGCAAGGATTAAAGTATACAACGATTCATTAAATTATATAGTTATGGAAAAGTTAAGGATTAAGTTAAATTCAATTTATGATATATAAGCCTTTGTGTATTTATATAGCAATATTTCAGAATAAATTTCTAGAAACATTTTAATTAATAAACCACTTTATGCACTCTACTACCTTTGTTCCACTGTTTGCCGTGTGTGTTGGGGCTGTCCTTCCCCGATTGCCTGTACTTCCTGCTCCTCCTGCTTTTCCTGCTGCTCTTCCTCCTCCTATTCCTGGTCTTACTCCTACTCCTATTCCTGCTCCTGATCCTGTCTTTGGTCTCCTCTGCTCGAGTTGAAAGTGAAAAGCGAACGATAACGGCAGCAACATGCCGCACTTGTAAGCTGCTTCAAGCCTGGCCATTGTTGTTGCTGCTGCTGCTGCTGCTGCTGCTGCTACCTTCTCTGACCTCTGACATCTTACCGCCCCCTCACTCGCCCCTGTTACTGTTCTCTGCCGCTGACAAAGTGGCGCTGTTGTTGCTGTTGCCAATGGAGGGTGTTGATGTTTTGGTTGTCGGCCTCGCTATTGCTATTCATTCACTAGCTATACGATGATAAAGCACAAAAAGGGAACTGGCGGAAATTCTGCTGATGACGATAATGTTGACGCTTACGCTTATGGCGACAACTTCGACCCTTTTTGCCTCGGTATCAAGCCCATCTGCATGGCACACAGGCGAAGAAGTAGTTCTGTCCTGGCCAAAAATACACGACTTTACGACTTTCTGTGTGTGTGTGCCGTGTGCCTGGAGGTATGCAATGAAATTTCTTTTCAATATTTGCCCGCTACCTTCGGAACGTCTAGCAAATGAGGTGTAGAACAATTTTTGGTTGGTTTTCGGTGCAAAGAAGGATGGATAAATGCTTACCAGCTTCAAATAGAAAAGCTGCATTACGCAGCCCAAAGGCATTAACAGTCATACAGCAATGGTAAAGGTAATAGAATCAGTCAAATATAACTTAATTAAGGCGCTTTTACTCAGGAGTATCTGTAATATCTGTGGGATATTTATAATATTATATTAAACATAAAATCAACCTGAAGCTAAGCCGCAAGGAAGATATAGTGATTTGGAATAGTATATTAAGGACGTTAAAAGTTGGCACTTCATTTTTTGTCTTAAACTTTCAAGTAGTCACAAAAATGTGGACTTACCCATTATTATTTTGACCACAAGTGTGAATGGCGTTCAAGCTCTTCCCAATTTAGTAGCTCCTTCATCTGCGTTCTCAGGGCTTTTGCTTTGTGCCCTTCCGATAAGAATTTGTTTGCTCGCAACGACATTTTTGTGGCTGCTTTGGCGCAAACTAAAGGGCTCGGCAGCAGAGTGTGGGGATCCTTTGGAATGCCAATTGAAATTGAAGTGTAGATGAGTGTATGCCTCCCCTCCTCCCTCCTCCCGTCTCGCGGAGTGTGCTGCCTTGCCAACCCCACAAACCATTCAGCGATGCTGGGGTCCTTGCCAATAACTTTGCTTTATAGTTGGGCACGTCTCTCTGGCGAATTTGTAAACCCAATTTGTGGCAACACCCAACCTCCACACTTGGCATCCTTTTTATTACCATTTTCTGGCATTGAAAGAGCTACCTGAACACACAAACACACCCACACGTGCAATACGCCTTGCCACAATTCATATTTCCGGTCACCCATTCCCACATGGCATTCGTCGAATGATAAATAAAATATTAAATTGAAAACCCAATTTTTATTCAAAATGCTTTCTAACTATGTGTGTGTGTGACTTTTCTTTGGAATCTAACCGCCCATTCCATTTCATCCTCCTCCTCGAAAAAAAACCTGGCATTTGTGACCCGGGGCTTCGGCGGATATGTATTTTCGTTTGCATAACCTTTGAACTTTTGTACACCCCAAAAGACCCTAAAACTACAGCCCGGGGCAGCAAAAAGCTAAAGTAAATATCTGTGCACATAACTTGATTACTTAACAAGCCGACATTTAATTTTCAATTCAGAAATGAAGCCGAACGCATTTAAATATGCCAGAAAATGTTGATTTAAGTGAGCGCAATTAAATAAAGTTCAATACATTCTGCGGATCAATAAATTAAATATATTTCATTGCAATTTAATGTGCTACAAAGGTCTTGGTTGTTAAATGTTCCGGAAGATCTTTGTTTATTTAAACTAAATAGGAGTTATTAGGTTTGAACAATATTTACTTGGTATACAGAAAGCATTAACATAGGGACACATTTTTTACATGATTTTATAGTCATTTGACCTTTAAAAACACACACACATTTTTAAAATTTAATATGAATTAAGACAAAATGTAGTTACTTTCGGATAAACAATGACTTGCACTTTTGCACATATCGAAAACCTTGCCGGTAGATGTCACTTCGTATCGGGGATGTTAGAACCAGTTGGGAATCATAAGCCGCATGAGCGAGATTTTTCGCTAAATGTTTAATAAACGAAATAAATCAGAAACAAACGTCATAAATATAAGGAAATTAATAAAAATTAATTCTTAAAAAAGTATTTATGATTGCTTGCCTTAAAATCAGGGAAACCGTTTCTTAATTCTAATTAAGTATGATAATTTTAAAGTGCATTAATTAATGCTTGAAAAACAAGAAACCTAAGCAGTCCGCTTTGATACTACCCTTATTTTCCCCACTCTTGTTATTTTTCTCTATCTAAAGTACCCTTAAAAAAACCCAAACCCCAACCATTACTACCGCCAACCCTCCTTCCTGAAGTTAGAAAGTTAATTAATGACATTTACTGGATACATCTAAAAACTAATTATGCATAAAATGGCTGGGGTATTATTGCAAGCCCACCATAAATTTCCGCAAACTGTGCAGCAATCGCACAAACAACGCCGATAACAAACTAGCCCTGATCCTGATTATATGGCGCTGCCTCTCTCACCTGACCCGACCCGGTGCCACCGTGTGCCGTGCCGGGCAAATCGATTAGGACAACAAGGAGCGCTACAACGGCGAGGCAATTACCAAGGACCCCTCGTCCACTACAACACAATGACAATGTTCGTGTTTCTATATGAGTGTGTCTATATGTCTGTGTGTATGTGTGTATTTGTTGTCCTGTGGAACAACAAAAGCACAAAATACGCCAACAAATCGGCAATTAATCAAGCCGCAAGTGCACGGAAGGGGGTGGAGCTGAACGAGGGGGATTGGTCAACTGTCGCTTGGCACTTTAACAATATTTATGCCGAGTGCAAAAACAAAGGACAATAAAAATACCAGGCTTTGAAATTGTTAACCATATTAAAATTAAAGGCATTTCAATACCCTGCAAAGGGAGTTCTAAACGAAGAAAGTTAATAACTTAACAAAATAAAATGGAACGTCAACTTAATAATAGTATTATTCAGGTAACATTATTTTTCTTGGATTCTTAACACCATAAACTTCCATACAAGATAATGAATCAATTTCATTTAATCTTGTTAAAATGTATAACATGAAATGATTAATGAATAATTAAAGAGTATCAAATTTTACAGCACTTGTTTTCTTACAAAAATGATCTTAGGGACCAGACATATAGTCATGTATCTTATGATTCAAATAATACCCATATAATATCTTCCTTTATACAACTACATATGATTTAATAACTAAATAAAACAATATACCCTGTCGTAGAGTTTTTCTATCTAAGTAAAACAAAATAAATAGAACTAGAGGCTTAGGTGTCCCTTAGAATTTGAGGCTCTTGAGTTTCATGTAGCAGGAAAGTCGGGATGAATTCAGTCAAGTTGAGCGGACTTACCCTCCTTGGTGAAAGATAGCAAGAATCTAGGGTGAGGTAAGGTAGACGGCGAGATACTCCGGGCCTTGCAATTAATCATTTTAATTAATTGGACAGGTGTGCCACAGGTTGCCGTCTGTTGCTATCAGTTACTGAAGTAATGTGAACCCTTTCACACCCACAAGGCACACTTGAAGAATATTTGCAGCAACTCTGATTAAATTTAAAATAAAGTTCAACATATTAGAGAAGAATTAAAATAAGTATATGTTTTTGAATTTGAATTAAATATGTTACAGAGCAACATAATTTAAAACAATTAATAATATTAACCCCCTAAATTCTTCAACTGTTTCTTCATGACTCCTTTTTCCCATCTCCTTTTTGCAGACGCGCCATCTTGGCCAACGGAGACGTGACAGCAGCTCGGCCACTGTCTCATCTTCTGCGGAATGACTTCTGGGGCACTCCGCTGGTGGATAGCGGCTCCCACGGCTCCTGGCGTCCGTTGAGTGTGCTCAGCTTCCGAATGAATTTCCTGGTGGGCGGTTTGAACCCCATTGGCTATCACCTGGTCAACGTGCTGCTCCACTGCCTGGCCACCGGACTGGTGGTGCTCGTTGGACATACGCTCTTGCCATTTCGTGTGGGAGCCTTGGTCGCCGGTCTGCTTTTTGCTGCTCATCCGATACACACGGAAGCGGTGGCCGGATTGGTGGGACGAGCAGATGTGGTGGCTTGTGTGTGTTACCTTCTCTCCTACCTTGCCTATCGCCGGCACATGGTCAGCCGGGAATGGGGATCATTGGTTCTTACCATTGTCCTTGCCTTGACCGGATTGCTCTGCAAGGAGACGGCCATTACGGCGTTGCTACTTTGCGGATTGTGTGACGTGATGTCAGCAATTGGAAGGGAAAATTGTGATAAGGTAAGTTTTATATTGTGTTTAATTACATAAATTAATACTCCCCTTTCAGCACCGACTGCGATCTCTTTCCATATTGAGTGTCACCTTGCTGTGTGCCCTGTACTGCCGCCTGAGTGTCCTGTCACTTCCCTCCGCAGCCTTCTCCGTGGCGGACAATCCGGCAGCTCATGAGTCCTGCATTTGGACTCGATTCCTGACCTTTATGTACCTGCCAGTGGCCAATTGCCGCCTGCTTTTGTGGCCCCAGGAACTAAGCTTCGATTGGGGTATGGAGGCGGTGCCACGGATCAAAACGCTCTGGGATGCCAGGAATATGCTGAGCATCGGCTTCTACAGTTCCCTGATTGCTGTTCTTTGGCGAAGCTCTGGGATGCGTCGTTCCACCTCCTCGATGGACTTTGCGGAAGTGGCAAGCATATCCCTGCCGCTCCTGCGGCGTTTGGGTGGCAATAGCTGCCACACTTGGCTGCGCCCCACCTGTGATTGCCACCGCCACCACCACCATCATCATCACCAGGTGTCGGAGCATGCGAGATCGGCTCCAAGCTATTATCCTGCCCCCAAGAGCTCTGCCTCCTCCGCCTCGCCAGGCACCTTTGTGAGCGTTGCCTTCCTGGTGCTGCCATTTCTGCCCGCGAGCAACCTGCTCTTCTACGTGGGATTTGTAATGGCCGAAAGGGTACTCTACCTGCCAAGTGTGGGCTACTGCCTGCTCCTTGGCCACGGCTTTGGCAGTCTCTGGCAGAGGGTCCATAGCTCACGGCTATCCCGGATGCTGCTCCTCTGCGGCCTGGCGCTGCTCCTTGGGGTCCATTGCCTTCGCACTGTGAGGCGCAACCTGGATTGGAGGGACGAGGAGCAGCTTTTCCGAAGTGCAATCAGCGTAAATCCCCCGAAGGGTGAGTCTATACATAAGCTTTTATTGTGGATTCTTAGAAGGAAATATTTAGAACTTTTTTACAAACAACTTTTTGGGTTGGGATTACATGGCGTATGAGTAATATATGTAAGAAATTTAACAATAACTTAATAAATAATCTACAATTTTATATTTTTTCATAACTCTTGATAGTTTTAGTTAATTTTTTATTTAAACTTCAAACTAATTTAAATTTGTTTTATTTACCAGTTCTACCTTCTAGAGGTGGATTACTGGGCGTATAAGTAATTTTATTAAAAGACTTTAACTAAATTTATTTTTTCCTTGTAATCTTGACAATTTTAGTTCAAATATTTATTTATCTCTACAAATAAATTTTAACTCATTTAACTTAGTAGTTTTAGCTTGTAGGGTTGGCTTACAGGGCGTATGAGTAATTTTATTAAAAGACTTGATCTGCAATTTCATTCTCTTGGCAATTTTTGTTCAAATATTTATTTATAATCCTCAAATAACTTAGTATTTATTTAATATTATGGTTTTTAAGATCTCAGGCATACTGCTAAGCTTGGTTTTCATGGCGTATGAGTAATATTCAAACGTTTTTGATTATTTTGTGCTCAAACTCAACCTTTTTAATATGCTGATGCAATTTTAACTCTAATGTCCACATGTACGCTATAAATATTTAATCTAACTTTCAATTTCTTTTATTTTCCAGCTCTGGGCAACCTGGGCAGCGTTTTGAGCTCCCAAGGAAGATACCAGGAGGCGGAATGGGCTCTCACTATGGCCCTTAGACATCGCCCCACTATGGCCGATGCGTACTTTAATCTGTGAGTAAACGTTCTCGTTGAGCATGTGGATGATGGTAGCCAGTTGAAAAACGCGAAAACCCTTTTGGAAATCGAGGCGAAATTCGCGCCTTAGCCGCCTTCTTCCACACGAAACCTGAATCCACAAAATGATGTCGGTTTTTGCCGGCAGCCTTTTCAAAATTCAAAAGCTCAAAGTGAATGGCTGTCGCGACCTTGGGGTTGGGTTTGGGTATTGGTCATGGCTTTTCCGTCGGCGGCTAAGGGGGGGGGGGGGTGGATGCTGCTGCTCTTAATTCCAAATGGCAGATCCATCTCCAGCTGCTCCTCCTGGCGGTGCCTGTTTCTCTTCTGCTCTCGCTTCCGTTTGCCAGCAAAAACGTTCGGACAACATCTGAGAGATAGGGAATGAAAAAAGGTGAAGGAAATGCTACGAAAAAGATGAGAAGGGGGGTTGGAAAACTGGGTGAAAAACCTGCGGAAGAGGGGTAGGAACGGGGATGACTGCCCAGTTGCATCGCGCATACAAATCAACTCGGTCAGAAACTTTAGCTCCAGCACAGGGGGCACATGTTTTACATCTTTTGGATGGCAATTTGCATGCACTCGGCAGCCATCAACAGCAAATAGCTGCGAGTTGCACACTTTTTTTCCCCATCTTTTGCTACCTCACAACGCCCCCAACGAGGTACGCCCATTACATCCTTCCCCCCAGCCCCGATGTCTTTTTTTTTCTGTTGTCCCGCTTTTGTACCTTTCGGAGCCTTTGAAACAATACGAGTGGAAATGAATGCAAGTGGCACTCCGCCGCAGCCTAATCCCCTGCAGATATGCTGTTAATTAGGCCAAAACTGAATGGGTTTCCGACCAGCGTTCAGATTCTTCGAGATACTTGATATCCGCAGGCAGAGACTAAGTACACATGGAGTTGTAATTTGCATTCGAGGCACATGTTTCATTTCAAAAGTTAGTTGATTTAAGCGAGGAAATCTTAAGCTCTCAGAGATTTGTTAAAATGCTAGTTTGTGTTTAAAAAAAAGCCTGTAAATCTCTATAAATATCTATCTTGATTGTCCTAATTTATGCCTCAAGTAATCTATCCTATTCTGTCTGCTATCTATTCTCGGCAAGTCGAACACGTACATCAAGCGTACATCAGTGCAATAAAGCAGCAGCTGCGACAATTGCATTCTTCGGCATTCCGAAACCATTTCACTTGTCTAACACAATAAATAAACAAAAGCCCCCGACATATGTATATATAATGCCCTGTGCAAACTGACAGACACATATATATGTATGTACACACATGGTAACAATAACATATCTGGAATTGTAATGGGAATGGAGAAAATAGTAGTAGCAACAAAAGGAAAAATTGCATTTCTGCTTACAAGCTGCACTTGATGCAACAATATGAAAAATAAAACTGCTGACGCATGACGTTGGCATCCTGCTTATCCCCCTAGACTCCCAACACTGAGAGAAATATTAGGTGTTGCAATGTAATATTGGGAAATAACAATAATACATATTCTATAAACAAATGTTATATTGAAAGTCGTATTTGAGGATTTAAAGGATTATACTTTCCTATTATCTTTAATTCTAAACCCTCTTGGCTTAGTGCATTTTTCTGAATTCGAGGCCAATGACACTTCCACTTTGGACATACATATAGCAGGCACACTCGAGTCCTCGGTACGGGGGAAGCTTTGGATAGTCATAGTGCAATTTACTCGTTGCATCGACGCTAACGGCGACCGCCAACTGAGATCGCTGTGAGCGGAGCTAAAGTTGCTCCTTGCCGCTCCTTTTTCCCCAGGAGATTTGGGCAGCTTGGCGAGGGAATGGAAGTAGGAAGAACGGAGTGCCATGCATTACGAGGGAAGCGCAAACATGCCAACGCTTAACGAATCGCACTCGACACCCCATCGAAGGGTCACCATGGGACCGGAAACGGAAATGCTTGTCACTAGACACGCGGCGGTAATTAAGATTTTTCACTTCGACTTCAATAAACCAAGCAAGGACATGTCAATTTGTTATCTAAAAATGTACTAATATTTAAAGAGAAGTAAAGTTAATTTTCAAGATAAAATCATTAAGAAAACATTCTTAAAATGTATAGTTAGTAAATATCCCTCAAATGTGTGTCCCTCTCGTCCACTGTGGCCTAGGCCGCGTGACTGTTGAACTCCCATTGAATATGCAGGACGTCATTTCCACAGCTGTCCTCGCACTCGCCTTAGTGTCCTTGCCAGCCAAGCAGCCATTGTTCATATATCCTGTTTCCAGTATTGTTGTTGTCCTGCTCCTGCTGCTGCTCCTGCTCTGCTGCCTGTCGCCTTGGCGCTGGCTGTTGATTATTGTGTTTGACATAATAGGCTTTACGCTCCAAAAAAGGAGAGCAAAAGACGCATGGTATAAATCTTTCGCATTGCTTCCTTTGGCAAATTGTAGGTAAAATCCCTTTTTGCCTCCTCCTGCCAAGTCATTTCTCCAGCTTCCCGTTGAAGGGAAACTTTTCTTCCAAGCAAACAAAAAAAAACGTAAGAAAAGAAAAGGAACCTGAAGGGGGTCCAATACAAATAATTGCTGAGAACTCCCAAGAGGTATGGACAATAGCGGCAGCTGAGGAGCTACCTCATCATCAGCATCATCAACATAATTATGCACATACACATTCCGTCATCCGCTAAAATGCCTTCGTTTGCGGAAAACTGTATACTAAAACTATGCAAAATATTCGAGGTAGGGGAGTGCATTAATCGCTTTGTTTCCCTTTGGAAGCTTCACGCTGTAATTCTGTTTTTCCTCATTTAAGTAAATATTTAAATAGAGCGTTTTGTTTTACGAAAAAGCCTCTTTAAATTGCATATTTTGTATGGTTTCCCATTTGAAGTGTAAATTCAAATATATATGTATTTGTATATATACACAGGGATTATCGGCTTATGGGCAACTGGCGTACAATGCTCATATTGAAGATTATTTTGAACAGTATATTGGGCAGCCTATTTTTTATGACTGCACAAAATTCTAACAATAACCGAATTAAGCTTAAAAATATATTTCATTTATTGCTCAATGAAATGTGAAAGAGAGGAAAAAAGAAAGAAAACAGTTGAATATTTAGCAGATTATAAAAGAAGCTTTACAAAAATACGCCTAAATGATTTAGAGCACCTAATACTATTTGTTTTTCACAATATTTATGGGTGTTTTAGTATGTTTATTATATTTATTTAATAAAATTTAAAGAAAATTGTTTATTATTATTATAATTCATTTCGACCCAAGTTAAATAGCTACAAAACGTGATTTTAATTAACCGCCTTAATGTAGTAACAGGTTCTTGAACACAATTTTTCCGGCACCACAATATCCTGCTCCTAATCCTGCTTGGAAAAGAAAATATCAAAGCAAAAAGGAAAGTAAAGATAAGTGGAATACGGAAAGTAAAAAGGAAAAAATATAACTGTTGTCGGCTTAGATACAATTTCAAATAATGTCAATGACATAAAAGCAAAGCGCGAACTTCATAACTGCTAAGGCTTCCCGCCTGCGGGTTATTAACTTGGCTCAAAACGATACACGAGACGTTGGCCTCTGGTGCTGCAGGGAAGCCCACGCTGAGATTTCATTTTAGTGCCGTGAAAGTTTAAAACGCTTTTCTCGCCACCCCGCCCTGCTTTCCCCGGGTTTTTCTTACCCACTTTCCAAGCGCCTTCGCCGAGTTGCCTTTGCAGCTTATCGAAAAGTTGTCTGATTGAATTTTTGCCTTGTCCACTTGCAAAATGCAGCAGGAACAGCAGCGAAGGTAGTGGCAGCCTCTTTTACATGGCCTCTGTCTTAGGTGCACTTAAAAAAATAATTTTCTTGAATATTTTAGTAGAGATTTTATTTAAAAAATTCTGTAAACCAAAAGTGATTTGACAGAACCAACTATGTATACGGCTGTAAAGTAATTATTTCACACACAAAGCGAAAACTACATGAAATATTGAGACTAAGACTTGTAATTTTTACTTCCATAAAATTCAATTCTTTATGCTTTAAAATACTTCAAAATTTTCCTTAAGTTTTCCTCTCAGTGCCCAATGGCTAGCTGGCTAATCTGAAAGTCAGAAAAGGCGATTGCAGTATGTACATTATGAAACCTTTAAGAGCTTGCCAAGCTGTGAAATTGTGATGGCTGCTGGCGGGTGTTTGGAGGTGTGGTAGCATTTTCCGTTTTCTAATCGAAAATCAATGCCAGGTGCCCTTCCATCCTTGCATCCATCCCCTCAACTTACCCGTGGTGCGTCGCGGATAAGCAGCTGTTTGTACATTATTTACTCGCAAGCCATCAATAGCCGGGATATCTCCGGCCGAGCACCTTGCGCCCTGCGGCTACGGATCTCCGGATTCAGCCACGTGCCACCTCCCGGAACATGAAGCATCCATCCAGCTCCTGTTGCTCCTTTTCCCTCTTCCTTCTCTATTTTATTTTTTTGAGTCTAGCCAGGCGCCAGTCAACTGTCATGGATTTGTTGTGCTCCCATGCTGATGCCGCTCTGATTTTTAGCTGCAAAATGCCACAGCAAAGGATAAGTTGAGTGGTGGATGGTGGATGGTGGATGCCAGGATGCAAGGATGCGGGTAGTGATGCCAGGCGGGAAGTCAAAGTAACAGGCAGGCAAACACCAAAACCAAAAAATCACTGAGCTGTATAATTCGATTTCTCTTTTTCCACACTCCCCCTCCGTTCAGCACTTGTTTTCTGTGTGGGGGAGTGTTCCTCTTGCTCATGTTTGCTTACCTGCACAAAAGCAACAAAATCAAAAAAAAAGTAATACCAAAATAAATAGAAATAGAACAACATGGCTGGTGTTTTTTGCTGGAATAGTATAAAATAGAATACTCAATATTCAGTTGAGCAAATCCATCCGTTGTTCGGTTGCAATTCGCATGCATTCACATGGGGATCCCCTTTTTTTCGGCTTGATTTTATTTTATTCACCCCGTTTTTTTTTTTATGCTGGATTGCAAATGGGGGAAATCGCCCGAATTTGTGGGCAACGAGGGGTTTTCAACATGGCAACTCAAACGAAAATAAAATTTAAACAAATTCAGCTTTCGATGTTGGGGCATATGCGAGTGTTTATTGAAAAGTTTTTACACACACACTCCCCTTTGCACACCTCACCCTTTGGAATGTCTCCAAAGCGAAAAGCTAATCGATGAATTCAAGAAGTACAATACGCAAATTTCTAACATAAAAATGTGGAAATGTGGAAAAAATATACTTTAGGGGACATTTAGAAAGGACCAAACTGATAAAGCTAAAAAATTAAAGTTTAAAATCTCATAACTAAGCCGAATAAGCATTAATTTTAATTCGGTAAGCTGTCCTATATTTGTTTTTATTAGGTTAACAAATTTGCATACTCAATTTATATATTCAACTTTTTGTGCATTTTTGACAATTTTAACGATGTAACCCCTTGTACAATTTTCAAAATTTTGACAAAATTAAATTTCAGCCGGACATAGCTAGATCAACTCCGCTATTCATGCTGATCAAGAATATATATGATTTATAGGGTCGGAAATTATTACTTCACAGCGTAACAATCTTCTGACTAAACTTAAATACCTAAAGTGTATAAAAATGTATATACATATTTCTTTTATATTAAAACTTTTCGTGCAATAAATCCCACTACCAAAAATGCTCAAAAACAGCAATCTCTGTATATGAAATCCCAACAAATCTAGATTAAACGAGAATATTTTTATTGCAAAATATTTTCTGTGATTTTGTAATAAGCTGCAAGTCATATTTACATTTTCATGTGCCTCAAATGCACAAAATTCTATGCGTAATAGTTTACCAGCTCAAATGCATGAAAACCATTTTAAACTTTTTTGTTTGACTTGACATGTAGCTAAGATATAAGCTGCTTTTTGTATTCAAATCCAAAGTCTTTACAATCTGCCCTCTTGTTGATTTTATAGCCTTGTCGCTACTCAACATAAAATTCAGAGTACGCCGCAGTTTGTTTGAATAATATTGTTGTGTTGCTGCCACCGTTTGCAACTCGTTTCCTGGTGTGTTGCACTTACTATATTGTGCAATCTGTGCATAGGTTTATTTTGCACTGTTCCAGGACTGCACCAAAATAAAATGCTGTTTATTTTGGAAAGCAATTAACCATACAAATATCATGTAAAAAAATTCAGAAAACTGCGGAATAAAGTTAAAGTTGCAAATTCAAAATATTTCTTTATAACTAAAAAATACTTCAAACTATGAACAGTCTTTTAAAATGTTTTTAGGTTCATTTGTATATATATTTTTAAATGGTTTACTCTATCACCTTTCTCTCTGTGTAAACCCAAAACGATGGCTTTGGTGCTCAGACCTTCGGTCATGTATGAATAACCACCAGACGACACAATGGATATATGCATATGGACGATGTTGGCGATGCTTGTTTGTGAATCAAGCTAAAATATAAGCTAGTGGGAGGTGGGCTTCTATGGACCACTCAAAGGGCGGTCCCTTAATTAAATGAAGCCGACCAAAATCAACTTGAAGGTCAGCGTTTTCAGCGCTTTCAAGTATTCGCGCTGCCACCGCCGCCTGCAATTAGCCGGTGGAAACCACAGAAAGCAAACGCAGAGTTAATTTACTCCCAACACTTTCAGAGGCAGAGAGCCGTTCTCGTCCTCGAGTTGAGTAACTTTGCTTTCCACAGCTCTGTTCTTTATGGTTTTGCATTTTCATTTTTTTTTTTTGTCCTGTTTAATTTTCCAGAACGTAAGAAACTATGTACAAGGAGGGGTTCTTAAAATAAATTTCTGTGAAGTTTAGTTCATTTGTTGGAATTTAAGAATTTAAGACGCCTCAGAGAGAACACTTTAGTCTAGTTCCTTTGACAGCTGACTATCACGGCGGAAAAAGGATTCTTTGGGAGACTGGCTAGGAAAATAATGTAGTTGCTCTTTAGTAATATAAATAATAAATAATATATAAGGATTAATAAAAGATATTTCAATTAGTTTCCTTATTGATAATAACCCTATTTTATTACCAATTTTCAGGGGTGTGGTACACCAGAGACAACTCAACTTCAGTTCAGCAATTTCCTGCTATCGCACAGCCATAGGATTGCGTCCTCAGCTGGCGGTGGCCTATTTGAATCTGGGCACATCCCTAATGTCCCTTGGAGACCATCGTCAAGAAGCCATCTCTGTGCTGCGAACAGGAGCTCGTTTGGATGGACATGGAGTTCGGGATCGGGCTGCACATGAAGAGGCTCGTTACACCTGCTACCTGCAACTGAGTGGCCTGCTCCGCTCCGAGAGAAATCTCTCAGAGGCTGCATCAATGCTCAAGGAATCCCTGGAAGTTCTCTCCACACAGCCCCAAAATCATAGGGCAATGCTGCACCTGCGTCTTGGTGAAATCCATGCCGAGATGCAGCATTGGAATGAGGCGGAATATCAGCAGAGAATGGCCATGGAACTGCAACCGCAACAGGGAGCAGTATATGTCACCTTTGGCCAAACGCTGGCCAGGAATGTAAGTGGCAAGAAGTCAATATTAATAAAATGGTAATACTAAATGTTTTCACTTTTAGGGAAGTCGCCTAGCGGAAGCGGAAATGTGGTTCAAAAGAGCCCTGCAGCTGTCACCCTTGGAGGCTAGTTCACATCATCATTATGGTAAGTATCTAAATATTATATTTAAATATTCTGATATATTTAATAACTTATAAATTCCCCTTAATTTCCAGCTGACTTCCTGGAACAGCAGGAGCGTCATCAGGAGGCCCTTAGCCTTCGCTGAGAGCCGCTGCTCTGGCACCCCATGACTATGTCCTGCAATCCTCCGTGGCGGATGCACTTCGTCTGCTAAACCGTCTGGTTGAAGCAGAACTGTGGTACCGAAAGGCGGTCAATATGCAACCCCTGGCGGCCCATGCCCATGCCAACCTGGGGGCCATCCTGCAAATGCGTGGCCTCCGAAAAGAAGCAGCCGAGTGCTATTACAAAGCCTTGGAACTTCAGCCAGGACATGCCATTAGCCTAGCAAATCTGGCCAAGATAAACCAGCATTGGGACACCAAAACGTAGCAGCGATTGTCTACTGGAATATTCTTGTTGATATTGTAGGCTTACAAAAATTGTAGATAGGAGGAAAAGATTATTAAAATTATATATATTTTTTAAAAATAAAGACTACAATAATACAAATTTAATGCCTTTCATTCTGTACTAATTTTGACTAATTCTATGTTGCTACGTTACCCTTTCAACCGCAATTAGTTGTGCCTGGAATGATGTGAAAATGCCAATCTGTTGCCGACGCGAATTCCCAAAAGCCAAGCCCACGCAGCGGATTATTTCCATATCAAGTTGGTTTTTGGGTTTCATCTTGAACCAGGGACAGACAAAAGGCCCCAAAACCCGAAACCGAATAACTTGGGGAATTCAAAAACAGGAGGCATAGACAAAGGCAGTCCCACAGACAGATAGACAGACAGTCGGCGACGTGATAATATCAAGTGGCTTTGGCAGCAAAGCGACCTAGGAAAACCGCATCAACCGAGAAAAAGGGGTAGGGAAAGCCCCAGGATGAAAACATGGAGAAAGTACGGACAGACGGACGAAGAACTTCATGCGAGAAATAGTGCTTACTAAGCATTAAATTATAATTAAATTTTAAACAATGAAATTGAGTTAAGGACAAGGACGGGAGCAAAAAGCTCTTAATCACAAACATGCGCAGCCACTTCAAAGGTGAGTCCTCCACCGAAAACTCAGCTCCCATCGTCGCCATATCAATGGGAAGAATGGTGACTGAAGAGCGGAGAGCGGAAAATGGAAAATGGAATTGCCAGACTGGCTCCCCGGCTGGCTGGCTGGCTGCCTGGCTAAGCATATGCGCATATAAATTAACATAGACACCCGAGTATTTAATTAAAATTCCATCACCAGCACACTCGCACACTAGCACACACACACACAAATATGACAGGCATACCTGGCCCAGGTAGACACACATTTTAGCGCTAAGCCCTGCAGATGCCGATGCCCCTCTAGTAAATCCACCAAAAACCACACTCACACACGTCCAACGAAATCTGGCAAGCGCCTTTGGGCCTCCGTCAGTCGGGAGTGTAAACAAGAGGAGTAGCCCCAAAACACACACACAAGGCAAACCCTGCCTATTCAGTAGCACACAAAATCCTGGCAGGACAGGGAAAAGGACCCCCAGCTGCCTCACTGGACAAGCAGCCTGCACCATGAAAAATATGGCACTCTTTTTATAAATAAATCTTAGAAATTTAATCCAAATCAAATTCACAATCACAACCAATCTAATTTAACTTTTTCTAATTGTATAAATACTTTACAATATCAAGCACACATTTCTCTCAGTGTTGTGGTGGGCAGGAAGACAATCAGTTTGGAAATCATCACGCGCGGACAACTGCCAGTGGCTATGGTGGCTTCATGGGGCAGGTAAAAAGGGATCCCCCTCGATACTGACTGATGAAGTGGCACTTCTGACACCGTCCAGCCCAACTCCAGGAACTATGATGATTATGATGACTCCCGACTATGATCGGGATGAGCACGGAATCCTAATAAAGTCTACGCAGTCCAGGTAAAGGGTTAACCTATCCGAGAAGTGGGCGAACAGGGTTCACAATTCCATAATTAAATATGGATTCCAAAGATTCGAGTGGGGAAAGCCACCCGAGACCCTTGACATTTAGCAGATTTGTGCGTATTAGAGAGGTGGATGTGAGGTGGCAGAATAGTAAAGGTAAGGTATTCAATATTAAGGTAATTAGAATATTATCAATATAAAAGATGACAGTATTAAAATTAATAAATGACTTGGAAAAATAATATTAAATACTAACGTATTATAAGAACAAGAAATAGCTAATTAGGTATTGAAAGTAAGGCATTATTGGGACAACTATATCATGTAATTTTTTTAATTTTCTTAGTTTAAGGTTCAGCTTTGAAGTAGCCAATTAATCTCTTTATATATTCCTTTTTTCCTATCAAATCAACACCAATTCCGTTGCCATATAAAGCTTATACTTAAATATTGCACAACTCACATACAAATGCAACTCGCGTTTCGTTGACAAAATCCTGGCCTGTTCCATATGTTGTTTCACCACTTTCCCCGTAGTCGTTAGTGGGATTTTGAAACAACCAACTAAACACACATTCCTAAACCGTACCGTACCCCCTTTTTGAAAATCAGGCAACAAGCCACCCAAAAGTGCCCCGGAATCCAAGTCTCGGCAACTTGCCCAATGAGTATTTAATGCGTCAAACTGTTTAAATTTCTATTGGTTTTTTTGTTTTGGACTTTTTCTTTTGACTTTTGTTTTTGGCCACAAATGTTGCTGTTGTTGCTGCTGTTTCGGATTGTGCAAAAAGTGACGCTCGGCTTTCAACTTTTTGACCAAACACGGCAAAAGGAGACACACACATATGGACGTCACGCAAATGGTCATCCTGCGGAACCATTTATTTTCCACTTTGGCCAAAAGACAAAAACAACAGAATCATAGCCCCACACAGAGATAACCATATACAGATATATAAGCACTGGAAAAGAAAATTGTAATTTATTATTTTATAAATTATTTGATATTAACTGAAGACTTTTTATTCTTCAAATTAGGATCTTATTAGATCAAACTATATTATTAAAAGTTTTCTTAATATTTACAAATACTTCAAGTGTTATTTAATATATTAATTCCAAAAAATTCCATTGAAGCAGTAATATTTATTACACACGAAATGTCTAATCAAAATATCACACTTTATATGTATACTCCTTGTCTAAATATAATATTTTCATACCCATTACCAATCCTATGATTTCTAAGTAAAGCTTCCAGCTTGTAAACATTTCTTTAAGTTCGAATATAAATATTTTTCCACAGTGCATTTCCCCCACACATAGATACATCTAAGCGGGGGCAGATGGGAAATACAGAGAGAGATTCGGAATAAAAACTAAAGTAAAACGAAAAGTTTTTAGTTAGCTTTTGATGAGGGTCAACTCGAACTCAACGGTTCTGTGGCGCAATTTTCAAGTGCCCCTCCCTCCTGCACCCCGGCACCCAACCTGTGCCCTTTTATCCTGCACCCTCTGCCCAAAAAACAAAAAAAAATAAAAAAAAGGATGACATACAATAGTTGGGAACATTGTTTTTGACATGACTTTCTATCAAAAACAAATTTGCCCTTCTTTGTGCTTCCATTATTCTGTATTGTCCATCTCACTTTTTTTTGTCACAAATCGAGAGGCAAATATGTGGGCTGTCAGAGGGGGGTAGGGGTGGAAAATGGAAAAATGGGAGGAGTGGGGAAAGCAATGAAATTGGGACATTGACAACTCAATTTGTTGAATTTTGTTTACAGCCATAGCAATAAATTAAATATTTCAGCAAAATATTCAACAAAATAAATTGCTTTTATAGCCGGATTTGTTGTTGTTTTTTCTCACTAATTTAATTTTTGGTGGATCAAAATGAAATTTAAGGGATTAGTGGCATTACATCACATATATTATATCACATATATTGAATCCACACAGATAACAAATTTGGAAGAAAAAAAACTTTGGCTGGCAAATGTATACTTAATTTATGAACACGGTTGTTTAGAATAATTTTAAAAATAACAAAATTTAATAATATAAAGCTAAAAAGGGATGTATTTGTCAAGCTTTGAGTCTATATATATTTTAAAGTTTACATTACATGATAATCTGTATAATGTTTCAATAACATTTCCTTCTTTTTCAGTATTTTAAACTTAAATGCGAAAATATTTGGGGTTTAATGTAGATCATTTTCAATATACAAAAATGGCCCATTAGACATTTTAAATATTTATAAAACAGAATGAATCAAAAGTATTTGATTTAATTGTTCTAATATTAAGTCATGATTTAATCTCTAGCAATATTATCAATTCATCTTGCAAGAATTATCGCAGGAACAATTTGTCAACTGTATCATTAACCAAAATGAAGATATAATTTATTATGAAAATTATGAAGACATGATAATATATGTACATACATAGATATATATCTGCCTGGGACAGCGAAAAACCGCAATCGGATACACAGGAAAATTATTGCAACGGACGCATTATAAACCGCAAATCCAAAGACACAGCGGCGAGCTTTGTTATGACGAGGAAATGTGCAAGCCCACAAAATCAATGCAACACACACACACTGCAGGGTGTCGGAAAATGGTTTGATGGAGTCGGAGGGGGGGTCGGGAAAATAGGGATACAATGGAGGTGAAAAGCCGCACGCAGTCGCTGTCAAGTGCAGCGATTGTCTGAGGATTCGGAGGACGAACACAGCCAGCTGCCAGGAAAGCCGGGGAAAACCAACTAGCTGGCAGTTGAGTCGCGGCTTCCACGTGACACACACACACACACACACAGCCAGCTGTCAGAAAAGCTGGGGAAAATCGTGGGGGAACCAGACACTCACTCCTCCCTCAGTCGTAGTTAACTCAACGAAAACAATTAGTTAGAAATTTAATTTTTCTCAATGCCTCCACCGATGCCAGACATTGCATGCAACATGCAACTTAACTTTGACCCCAACTTAATTGCAGGAGAAAGTGAAGACTTCTGGGGGTTAGCCGCCGTGTCAGCATCAGTTTTGCCAACCAAAGTACAGGACAATTGGGGCCAAAAACCCGGGTGCAGGGGTGGGGATGGCGACCATCAATGATGTATTTTTGATTGCAGCTGCTCGAAAACACAACAATCAGCAGAAATTGCGGGGGCGATGCTGGGTGACGAAACGCAGACAAAATGCCAAAGCACAGAGGACAAAAAACACAGAGCAGCGGCAATCATCATAACCTGTAGCTTCAGGCGAAGCGTAACCATCATCCCCGACAAAGAAATGCTTGAAAGGACAAAAGGTACCGACCATGAGATACTCAGTATTGATTTGTTAAAGTGTATTATAAAATATAATCAATAGAGGGATATCTTCTTTGATATGTTTGCTAGGCTTTGCTTCTTAGTTTTGTTTTCATATTTTATTAAATCATAAGTCCCCAATTTAATC